TCTCTCTCTCTCTCTCTCTCTCTCTCTCTCTCTCTCTCTCTCTCTCTCTCCCCCCCTCTCTCTCTCTCTTTCTAAAGTCTAGTCAGTGTGTCCTTCACTGAAATGCTATATTTATAACAGCACACCGAAAAAAATATTCTACTGCTAAGAAAAACGATTGCTCAGTTTACTTTCTTTCTTTTAAATGATGGTTATCTTCAACAAAGAATGTATTCTTGATAATATATAGTCTAATAATATATAATCAACACAAATTTTAGTAAAACTCATTATCGTGTAAGAACTCAAAAGAAGAATTTATTCTCTTTACAAGAATATTATAAAACTTTATCCAAGAAAATGTTGGTTCGACTCTATGTAGTGAACAAACCGAATTTTTGTCTCAATTTAATATTTTTGATTGAAATGCTAAACCTACTTGAATTCAGAACATGTATTTTGAATAAATTTGATGCTTATGATGATTATAACTCATGACAGATTTGCAGATAATAACTTAAGAAATATTTGAAATAAACAACTTGAACGCAGTATATATTTTTCTGTGTGTGATGAGTTCAGTTATAACGGTAGTACTACAATTGGTATCTCGTTGAGAGAATTAATTGGCAGTAGCGATTGTTTCTACTGTCGATGCAGTTTGCAAACATAGACAATGTCATTGCACGTAAATCGCATGTAATTCCATCGCCACGAACATAGTTGGATTCGATACAACGAATAACGAATTTATAGTGTATATATTTTACAGTGAAATCTCTCTTCCACTTGTAAAATCCAGTCAAATATAAGATAAAGCAGCAAAGTGGAAGTGTTTCCACTAAAAATCAATGAATATTTACTAATTATCGGTGCAATGTTTCTTCTACTGATTTAATCAGAAACATTTTCACTGATTCACTTTAAGAGAGTAACGATTTGAGTATTCAAAGAGAAGTAGAAAGATCTCGCGAGGTGTTTAAAGAAGTACCGAGTCTCGATACCGTTTATTTTATTCGTCAATGTCTTATTAATACTTTGGAACTCTACGGGGATAGTTTCGTTTTCAACCTTATTTGATGAACATGACAAAACTTTTGTATCAACGCAAATTTCTCTCCGTTTCTCAGCGAGCAATGAAAATATAGTCACGTCTACGAGGTTCACAAGATAACCATATGAGTAGTTTAACAAAATGACAATACAAAGGAAAAATTTTACGTTCAATATTTATCATAAAATCTACGTTTACATATATATACATCCAAAAAATATAATCTGTTTATGATAAAATCTTTAGCGAAATTCTTTTATACATGGCTTCACAAGAGAATTCTTCTGAATCCAAAAGGAAAATATTTCAAGCATAATAGCATCTCGTCTAGTAACTAGAATTCGTTTTTGGGGGGATGTTAAAATATCTTTTTTTTATTTTAAAGAAATCTTCTTCAGGTTACAACACAAGAGGGTTCTACTAAGGGTAAAATTTTGTAGGATATAACATATTGCCGTAGATTTTAATTTTGTCACGAGGACTTTTCTACGTCCCTAAACCTGAGAAAATTATTTTGGCATTTTGTTTCCAAACGTTCCAGTCGTAATATGGAAATAGCACAAACACGTTCGATAGTTGCGCTCGCGCATTTTTATTTAAGGCTTAATCTTTCCTCAGCCAAATCAAGTTTTGCCAGTTGGCGCGGTTGGAAAGGAATGCGACTGAAACGAAAACGGGGTAACCCTTGTCTCACGTTCGTTAATTAATTCTCTCCCGTGCGATCAAGGCGCTCGCTCACGAACGTGAATAGTTTTCTAATTACTCCCCGCGATCGAAAGCACGCGAAAGAATACGCCGTGTCGGCCCCCTCGGTGCGGATGATCCACAGGAAATAAAAGCGAGCATCGCTGACGACGCATAAATTACCACCGCCGACAGCACTCTTACCTCGGCGCGATTGATGAGCGCGGGAAAGCTGTTGGTAATACACGCGGAAGACGCTCTGAATATCGTTAGATCGTTATACCGTTACGTCGCTATTGAGACCCAATCATCTGTGCTTCGCCTCGCGCAAGAGAAGCGGGTCTATTGCATATTACTTATGCGATGCTGCTCGAAGCGCGCTACGAAAAACAGAAGCGTCTTAACAAAATCGATTCAACGAGGATGCTTTCATCGAGCGGGACGAAAGACGCTTCTTTGACGAGGGAATCGAAGCCTTCAGAAAGGACGGCACTTTGTATTCCGCGACAGAATGTACTGTTCCATACAACACACGCTTCTTCGCGATGTGCCTTATGAAATATGTATAACCATGCCTAACACCATGTCTCGGAAAAATGACGCACGAATACGTGTCCGAGTCGAAATTCTGGCGAACACAACTCATTGTGTGTGAAATGTAAGATATTAAATAATATTAAATATTTATTATATATACGAAAAAATATTAAATATTTGTGTGAAGTGTATCCTTTTTATGGGCAATTCAATATAGCGAATATGGCATTAAGTAGCCATTTGTTGCATCGAGGTGAACCTGTAAGGCAGCCTCCAAGTTCGACGGAATTTGTAAGGTTAATATGTGGCACCAACATTTCGATTCGAGTACGCATGTAAACATGCGAGTATAAAATTGCTGCCATATACGGGCATTTCATACAAAGCGCAACGTCCGCGCATACGTTCGCGCAGAACGAACTATTGTCCACTCGCTTGGCCATGCTCCGAATAAGAGAGAAAGTATGCTTTCAGGTAGTCAAAATTCGGTGCCACAAAAGGACTTGAGGCTGCGCCAGACAGGTGGCCTCAGAAATTCCTCTTCTTCGGGATCGTCGCAGGACGTCCGAGATGCAACTTCCAGTCCGAGGCGGCCTGTCAGTTATGTGCATCCCTCCCAACTACCCCAAAGGTGAGGGAGTTACCGCTTTGAAACGAGAATTTTAAAGGTGTCCACGTTCCACGTTATTGTGACTCGTCTCCGAACTAAAAGTTCTGCCACCTTTCCATGTTATTCGTTACACTGAGAAAAAAATTTACTAAATTTCAAAAAACGTTTGTTTGGATAGTACTGTGAAGATATTTGTTTAAATTAAGTAATTATTTTCTAAAATTAAATAAAGAAGCTTTAAATATAAATTTGTTTCTTTAATTTTAGAAAATAATTACTTAATTTAAACAAATATTTTCACAGTACTATCCAAACGTTTTTTGAAATTTAGTAAATTCTTTTCTCAGTGTGCAATATAATTCCACCACCACTCGTTATAATTCGTCTAAAATCGTTGAAATAAAAAATTTTCCAGAAATTAAGTAATTAAAATAATTACATTAATTTGAATAAAAAATAAATTATATTAATTAAAAAAAAATAAAGATAAGTAAAAATATCAATTTAAAAAAAGAAACGAGTTTATTTCTTTTCATTTACGTATTACTTTATCATAGTAATAACTTAAAAATATTGAATTTTTGTAATTGTTTTTCTTTGTTATTAACCAACTTCTTTTTAAAAGAAATTGGCTTCTTTTTAGAAGAAGATCTCTAAGTTACTCAGACAAAGATAGTCACTCTAATTAGAATTGACACCGTGTCAATGATATTTTTCACGTACAGAGGATTTTGTTTCATATTCTCGTGCGTTCACGAAAATTTTCCAATGACTCGCATTTCTTAATTGTCTTCTTTCTCCCCACGATTTTAGAAGATCTGTCCACTATCAATCAACAGGATCTTTACATTCGGATAGTCCGAGTAGTAGTAGCGTCTCTCCGGTGCCATCGCCAAGCCCAAGAGCTACACCACTGCCTGTAGCCAGGTGAGAGAACGCGCAAGATATTCACCGTGAGTCAGATCGTCAAATCAGGAAAAAAAAACAAAAGCGCGAATCGCCAGAAACGACGAACTGTAGAGGTTTCTTCACGAATTCCAATTACAGGCCTGATTTGTAAAGCACTTCCCCCAGCTCAATAACGCTGAAATTATGCCGACGATCAAGCCCTACTCCCCCGTACATTATTAATCGTATGTTGCGTGTACGATCGTAACAGGCATGCGCATGTTGATGTGTGCTCGTAACGTTAATATTATCGCCACGTTAATGAACGTGCTCGCTATTAATTAGCGACGATATACTTTTCGATGTTGTTAGCGTTGATTACGGTTGTTATACGCGATGCGTACGATCCTATATATAACCTGCATGCTCGCTGTTGAACGTGAATTGAATTCGATGCCTTTAGATCGCCCACGGCAAGATCAAACGGACCGCCGCAGAGCAGCCTGAGGAGAGCCAAGAGATGGTCGTCCACCGGCGATTTTACACACTCGCCGCAAAACCAGGGAAGCAATTCCCAGCTCGTCGGTACCAGGTTAGCTTGTGGCTAATAACGTAACAGTAAAGCGCACCGTTTGCCCGCCACTCGTGATTTTGTTCACTATTCACTGATCACACGAGTTTAACTTTTTTGTTACACCGCCGAGTGTTCTTCTTCTTCTTGCTTCCTCCTTCGTGCGATCGAGCGTATTTTCCCGTCGATGCTCTGCCATCGTTCATCCGCGCGTTCCAACGTCGGGTCCCGCATGGTTACCATTGGCTTCGCGCGCCACTTAATCTTTTTCTTACTGTTGTGTATATTTTCTCGCGCACGCGGCGAATTGAAATTAAGCGAATATCGAGCGTTCTTTTATTCATACCGAGACCTACGCTAACAATAATACATCTATATAATTGGACAAATATCACAAAACAACGAGGGATTTACAAATTAAACCATTTTTTCACTTTATTTATTTTAATTCATTTTTTACTATGCGTTTGTTTACTTTATTTATTTATTATTTATTTATTTATTTATTTATTTATTAAATAAAAATACATTTTTCACTCGAATAAATACAATGGACAGAAAAGTTCTCGACTGAATTTCACGCGAAAGAAACGCGTTTGGTTGGATTAATTAAATTTCCCGTGAAATATGAACAAAAATTCTGGTTGGAGTTACCAAAGTTCCGTTTAGGTCAGTCAGAAGTCTTGTTAAATTGAACAGAATTCTAATACCTTTTCAAACGGAGTTTTCATTCATATTTTATCAGACGTTTAGTTGGTCCAATCGAACGTTTTTTTCGGTGTAGAATTAATCTTTCATCCTGAATACATTAATTAAATCTCCAGGCATACGGAAAAATACGTGGATCGCATCATTTTCTGCCTCTTTCTTCCCCTTTTCTTTTATTCTTTTTAGTTACGCACCGCATGGTTTTCGTTTGCATTTTCATTCGTTATAGATTGTCCGCGTCCACCAAGTCCCTGTTCAACCTGTTCAAGCCACCGGCGATGAACAACGTCAAGCACGGGTAAATAATACCAACTACTTCAGACAATTTATTTATTTCTGTCATGTACAGGGTGTCCGGTAACTCACAGGAGCCGCGATGTGCAGGTAGATCAGATCGAATTGAACAAAAAAGTCCTCTATCATTTTCCAAATGACCATATTTAGTTATTAATTAAAAGTGATTTATGCATTATCGCGGACAACTGTATACCAAACTTCTTCAATTAATAACTGAACATATAGGTGGTTATTTGGAAAATGATAGAGGACTTCTTTTTTACTTAACATACAAGCGTACAGCGACAAACCATCACAGCTCATCTACCGTATGATGCGCGATCGTTCACGAATCGTCTTGAATTAATAACTCAAAATTTTGCGTGACTGTCCGCAAAATGATAGGGAAATCTTTCGTTTGATCTAATTAACCTGCACACCACGACTCCTCCGTGAGTTACCAGACACATTGTATATATGTGTATGTGTATATATATCTGTCTGTCTTTCTCTCTCTCTCTCTGGCTTCTTTTGCACTCGCATTTAGGCGACCCACGTGCCGACCAACGGCCGCAAAGTCACACGTGCACGCCCTGCCTGATTGCACGTGCGCGTCGGGCAGCCTTAAGGTGCAATTTCGTACCTCCGCAGGTGAGCGCGTGAGCGCACGCCGACGGTACGGTAAAGCCTCGCTCGAAACGGACGTTAAACGTATGGCTAGTGTTTCCCTGTGGGTTATCATCGTGATATACTGGCGTGACATACGATCCGCGACGGAATTATATACGATCGCAGGCGGCTGCTCGCGATCTTTGTCGTCGGGAATCGAGAACCAATTCGCGGTTTGCCTCTTTACGCCAAGTAAATAGCTAACAATACGCAAATGTATCGCGTGAAAGAGCCTAAGAGCGTTTAATTGACGTCAATTGGCTGCCTAACGCTACTTGGCCATAGTTATGCAAGAATATGATCAAACTAATTCAAAATTATGATTTTTTAATTTTCGTTATTAATGAGTAGAACATAAAAGGGCATTTTTATGTGTGTCTATATTTTATGTCTGTCTAGCATTTTTATTTCTGTAAAAGAAAAAAAGTCTTATGAGCGTCTAAAGTTAATTAAAAAAATGTTTTTATTTTTTACTAGTTGCGTCATTTTAATCATTTTTTGAGGGCTAAGTATGTCAATCGCAAAATCAATAAATGCTAACAATACGCAAATGTATCGCGTGAAACAGCCTAAGAGCGTTTAAATGACGTCAATTGCTGCCTAACGCTACTTGACCATAGTTATGCAAGAATATGATCAAACTAACTCAAAATAATGATTTTTTAATTTTCGTTACTAATGAGTAGAACATAAAAGAGCATTTTTATGTGTGTCTATATTTTATGTCTGTCTAGCATTCTTATTTCTGTAAAAGAAAAAAAGTCTTATGAGCGCCTAAAGTTAATTATAAAAATGTTTTTATTTTTTACTAGTTACGTCATTTTAATCATTTTTTAAGGGCTAAGTATGTCAATCGCAAAATCAATAAACGTCCTTGAAGAAAATAACGTTGGCCGGCTTGACTTTCTGAACAATTGCGAAGAACCTCAACGCTATCTATACTTTTTAAATTATGTATCAAATTTTCATTTTTTATTCATTTTCCTCAAAACATACTTTATGTGATTATTCTTGTTTGACTGTGCGCCAGTTCTAATTATTAAGACAGCATGTCTAAAGTCGTTAACCTAAACACGTTAAAAAGTAATTTTAAAAAATATTTTAGAAGTTTAATATATTTTATATATATGTTAAATGTTCCTTTCTTTCTTGAGTTTGCAATGCTTTGCACTTAACATAGATATTGATCGCGTTTGATCGAACTCACAGACGAAAGACTCACGCCGACTAATGTTTAACGCTTGCTGGTTCGCTTGCCACTTGAATATCACGACGAGAATGTGTGAAATGGAGGAGTTTGTCATGCTGTATGCGTTTTGCACGTAGTATTATCATTGAACAACTGGCATGCCGTTAATTATCACGATACGCCTATATTTTCGACCTTCGACCTAGCATGCAATTCGGTACTAGTGATAAAGCACGAGTTTCTCTGAAAAGCGAGGAGCAGTCGCTTGAATGAAAATACGGCCCAAAAGGGATGTGCATATCCGATGTGACTAGTATGTATATACGTGAAGAGAGGAAGTTCGTTTTAAACATCACGCCCGCGAAATTGTTTTACGCCGGTTTTGTATCGCAGTCAATGATAATCAGTAAGTGTAATAGCGTTTGACTGCACAAGAATGATATAGTTAGTCATATAGTGATATAGTTTTGTAGTAGCGAAGCGCGCCGAGTATCACATAGCATGGACGTCTTATCGTGGTTACGATATATCTTTTATGATTAGCAAATGTCGCAGGATCGACTTCGTCAAGAGAAATATTAATACCAATAAGAAAACCTGTACACGGAAGGAATTTTATAGTAAAAATTACTGTAAAATTCTGAGGAATAAATCGACATTCTGCAGTAATTCACTTCATATCCTTTCATTTCATACATGCTGCTTATACAGGGTGTCCGGTAATTCACAAAGGAGCCGCGATATACAAGTAGATTAGGTCAAACTGAACAAAAAATTCCTTTCAATTCAGAAATGCGTTATTAAGATACTTGCTATGTGTCTAGCGAAATCTGTTGTTTCCAGCGAAATTTACTATGTTCCTTAACAAGACAGACCTTACTGGCAATTTATGCCTGGACAGTAGCGTTAGGGGGGCTGAGGGGGTTGCAGTCCCCTCTCCGAAATTAATTTTTTGGATTACGTTAAGTGTGAGAAAAATTTTTTCAAATGATCTTTTTTTTTGTTCGTCAAAAATAAAAAGTATAACTCCCGAAACTTTTTTCTAGCTACGCCACTGTGCCTGGACTACTAAAAACATAGTAAAATTGAAAAGAATTTATACGATAAGAGATAATTTTCTCCGTGTAATAATGAAATAATGTGAATAGAAACAATAACGTAACGCGGTCTATTAACTTTTTGCAATTACTTTTCAATTTCGTTTGCTAATATAATTACAACGATCAAGTTTTCGTTGACTCAACAAATTACGGCAAATAAGCGGCAAATAATTCTTATTCATAATTTACTATGAACTTACGGATTATGTTTATTATTATTAAATTCTTATCAATGATGATTTTACTAAACTTATATAAATATGATATATTATATAATATATTATACTATAAAAGAGTATTATATATATATATATATATATATATATATATATATATATATATATATATAT